CTAAACAGCTATTGCAAGAAGCTTGGTACGAGTACTGTTTTAAAACTTATGATGAGCAACTTCACTTCATGAAATAAAGGGTCGCACACCAGGAAGCCGGCCAGGAAATCTTTTTCCCCATGAACGATCTCGATGTTGGCTAAAGTACTAAGGTAGACTAGCCTCTCAGCTCGGCGCGTAGCATCGTTCCGGAGGAATCCCAGCCCCCCCCCGGCGTTAAGGTAGATAAGGTACGACTAGCAAATCACGTTCCATACCATATGTACCCGCCCGGGGAAGTCGGTGACACAGAGAAGTATGCAAGGTCGGAACACCGCCTAGCCAAGATGCGCCTAGTCTGTTCCAGAATAGCAACGAGACCGTGCCACGCTATTCGGCCCCTGCTCAGTTCCTTACTTTAGCTTACTGGATCCTAGCTCAAGCGACTTAAAAGCAAGCGGATAAAGTAGCGTCTGCCATTCCAGGTTTATACTTTAGATACTTTACATATCTCGCCCCTCACTGTGCGCTTGGTTTACACTTTATAACCTTTCCTTCAAGTATGGCTCAGTCTTATTACTCTCTCCTCGCCTTTCTAATCCTCATCACCCTCTGTTGTTGGAGACTTATCCACAATTACCAGACTCGTCAGGTACGTCTCGTCCAGTTCTCGAACGGAATCCAGGCTCATACGAAAAGCAGGCTCATAAGCTATTTGCCGAGCAGTATGGATGTCTACCAGCGCCTCGAATTCAGAACCAGAGACCCTGGGGCGTAGATCGACTCGAGCAGATTTTCCGCGGCGATAGAGAGTCGCGCTTGATGGAGCTCTTTATGTTCCATTTCAGGCAGACAGGAAATACCGTTGAAGAAGTCTTTATTGGTACAACAGCGTTCGACACAATTGAACCCGCCAACCTCGAAGCCTTGCTATCGACCAACTTCAAAGGTACCTCTTCCACAGACTCTCAATGACACTACTGCTCCTTGAGTCACCTAATCTCAAACAGACTTTTCCATGGGTAGACGTCGAGAAATCACATTTCCAATGTTTGGTGACGGCATTTTCAATCAAGAAGGTGCGGCATGGAAGCATTCTCGAGACTTGCTACGACCACCGCTTCAGCATAAACACTACGAAAATTTAACTGCTTTTAAACAAGGTGTGGATGACTTGATCGATATCTTATCCAGCCAGTCTGCTGTGATTGATCTGCAGCCTCTTTTCTTCCGCTTAACACTTGATACCGCTACAGAATTTCTCTTTGGCGAGTCAGTGAACAGCCTCAAAGCACCCAAGTCGGCTAACGAGCAAACTTTTGGCGAAGTTTTTAATTCAGCTCAAGCGACTGTAACTCAGCGCTTCCGACTTCCGGGTTTCTATTGGATGATAGGCGGGTCCAAGTTCCGAAAGGCTTGCAACAATGTGCACTGCTTTGCGGATGAGATCATCAATCGCAACTTATCGCGCAGCTCTGGGGAAGGCCGCGTCTTTCTGGACGCGGTAGCTGAGAGCACAGCAGATCGTGACGCCTTGAGAGGTCAAATCATCAGCCTTCTGGTGGCGGGTCGAGACAGTACAGCCTGCTTAATGACATGGACTTTCTTCCTACTCGTTCGTCATCCAAAGGTTCTGGAGAAGCTGCGAACAGAGATCAACTGTAATTGCTCTGATCCAGCTAGTCTTACGAGGGCAGACCTTCGAAAGATGAGCTACCTTCAGAACGTCCTCAACGAGACTTTGCGACTCTACCCATCTGTTCCTGTAAACACTCGTACAGCCAAAAGGACGACCGTACTGCCAACAGGTGGGGGACCAGACCGAACAGCCCCAGTGCTCATTCCGAAGGGTTCAACGGTTGCGTACTCCATTTACGCCATGCACAGAAGACCGGACCTGTATGGCATGGACGCTGAGCTCTTCCGTCCGGAGAGATGGGACGAAGACATGCCAATGCGTCGTGATAAGACCAACGCAACGTGGGGCTACCTTCCCTTCAATGGAGGCCCCAGGATCTGCCTTGGCCGTAAGTTGCAGGTCAACCGAAAGAATCCTGGCGAATATACTGACCTCTTCTTCAGTGGATTTCGCGCTTACCGAAGCCGCGTATACAGTGGTCCGGCTCCTTCACCATTTCCCCGTCATACGATTACCAGCGGGCCAAAAGGTCGAGATCATGGGTGTGGAGAAGCAGACCATGACTCTTGTGCTTTCATCTACGGAAGGCTGCATGGTGGACTTTGCCTCTAGAGAAGAGCAGGAACAAGATGCATGAACTTATTCTCACAACATGTGACTTCTTCTATCTAGACTAGGTTTTGACAAATGCCACGGGAACTATCGCAGCAGCTCATCCGCTTCCTGGGAGCGTTTCGAATTGAGCATGTCAACAGCATACTTCCAACGCCGTGAGACCACCTCAGGCGCTTCCTTTGAGTACCGCAGCAAAGCAGCCACAACGAGTCTATATCCAGGGGAAGTGCGGCTCTCGAATTTGCACATGTTCCTATGATCACCTGGAAGACCGGCTCGCTCCGTACTATCCAGAATCGGAGCTGCGGAGGATTCTTCGACGACCTGCCAGACATCAGCATTACCCGTCCCATTCCAAAGAGGAGGAGCATTGACGGACGTAGTCCTGTGTAACTCCCATGTTCGTCTTCTCCTGTTCCCAGAAGAAGAAGATGTGAAAATCCTTCATGAGTGGTACAAACATGTCGGTGATGTTCTGCAGCACTTCTGAACCTTCCTGCACGGCATCGAGAAGCTGCCCTTCGGTGTCTAGAATTTTAGAGGGCACCAAGGCTCCGATCATGCGACGACTGGTCGAAGCGAGCTTAGCTTTATTGCCGCCGTCGTGAGGCGTCCCCAAGAACAAAATTCCAAACGTCGAGACGTAAATCGAATGCACATGCTGAATGGACTTGCTGGTGCGGCTTGCGGAATACGCAATCGCCTGCGGACAGTCAATCTGTGGCTCATGGATGGCCATCTCTGTCTTACACGTTTCACGACAATGCCACCAAGTGAGTGGCAGACGAAGATAATGGGCCGTTGGGTCGCATCTTCCAGCTATTTGCTTCATCTTAGTCGCCATAGCTGAGCTCCACCTTTGCCCACCCGACTCACCTCGCGATCTGCCACCAATTGGGCAATCAACGTATGCGCGTGCTGTAGAATGCGGTCTGACGAGGTCTTGCCGAACATTGCCGTCACGTTTGCGTCGTAGCCATAAGTTAGGATTCGAGAATTCTTCAGATTGGACGGCAGAAGATCGAGGTCCTTGAGCCACATCTTCTCGGACCCCCCCGTAGTCCATGTCCTGAAGGGGTCGCCATTGAGCCCGTGGACGGCAACGATGCTATGCGCATTAGCAGGCCTTTGCCTACGCGTGGGGTATTGTTGACATGCTCTACAACCGGATCATCGCCTCTATACAGCTCAGTCAGACCAGTAATTGGCGTCATATATGTATTTGAACTGCTTAGTAAGTCTTGAATGACGAGTACAGAAGAAGTAGGATGATGAAGGGATTAATTGCTGAAGAGCGACACAATTCTAAGAGAATTTTCTCGGCGGCTTAAATGCCGCGTAGAGTACAAGTAAAGTAGCCTCTCTGCGACTGCTAAGAAAAGACTGCAGAAGAAGGCTGAGTTTCAATAAAAATATCCGGGAAAACCAGAACTGAACACATCCAGCGCCTTGATCGTCGGCGAAGTGCATGCGTTACGGCGTAGAAGACGATTGCTCCTCTTTGGGGTTTCCGATATTTCCCCTGACAAAGGGTTACGGCTGCCACCCATCACACCAGGCCACAATGCAGTACCCCCGCGCCTGAAGTACCTAGTTCACAGCTGAACAGGGTCTTCAACCGCCCTCCTCTCGCCCGGCCAGCTCTCTCCACCCATCCATCTTTAGGCTGTGCGCGCTGGTGTAATAAATAGCAATGTAGAACCAAACGTCCAGCTATTAGTAGAGGAGAGAAGACTATGGAGTGGGATCGCGCAGGGAGAAGGGCAGCGCTTAAAACCCTAAGGTGGGTGAGTGCCCTAAAAGCGGCAGCCTTGCAAGGATCGAGTGCGACCTCCACAGCAGATTGTGATTGCCAAGACATGTTTTCTCGGACTTAAGACTAGTTCGGACTCAGCATCGTATGACATCAATCCGGACCCCCACCTCGATCTCTCCATCATCGCTCCAACCTACCTTACACAACGATAACCTCGAACGTCCCTATACATCCATAAACCACCAGACAAAAATATACCACATCCACCTCGTCAAGATGCCCGACTCCAAAGAACAAGCCCAAGCCGCTGAGCAAGAGGCCCAAAACGCAAAAGGTAGCGTAACCCTTCCCCCCCACTCTCTCCGTGATACAGCTCACTGACAGACCCACCCTAGACCCCAGCCACCCTGCCCATCCCCAACACCCAAAGGTAACTCCCCAATTCCATCCCCCCCCCATCCACCCCCACACGCCCCTCCATTGACAGCACGCTGACACGAGCCCCAGCACGGTGAATGGCTCAAGAACGCCGGCAAGAAGTTCGGCAACGCCGCCATCTTCGGCGCCGGGGCCACGGCCGGTAGGGATGCCATCCAGGGCGCGATCAACCAAGTGTAGCGCGTTCTCATTGCGTGGCCAGGGTCGGATGCCATCCAGGGGGCTATCAGTAACGCGTGAAGGCTTTCGTGACGGGAAATCGTCGGGATGGGGATGGGGATGGGGGAGCGGGATGTACGCGAAGCTGATGCTGGGGGGTTTTTACACAAGGGGGTAGCATAGCATAGCATAGCAAAACATCTTACTTGAAGTTGTGCGTTTCTCATTGGGTGCAGAGGTTCATGAACGACCCGTGTCTCACGTCAAGATGCATGCATGCTACGAGTACTCCCCAAAGGTGAAAGCTCAGATCCGTTGTCCTCAAACGGAATTGATAGCACTACAGTCGTCCATGTGTCCCGTTAGAAGGCATGAGAAACAACTACCACGGATCCTTCTTCAATGTCAGTGTCAATGTCAATCCCACCAACCAAGTCCCCAAAACAGCTCTACCGTGACGCTGTTCCCAACGCGAAAGCCGACCTAGGGACGCCACCCAGGAAGATTTCAACGCCCTCACATCCCATCGGCCCAACCTTGGTGAACCCTGGAGTCAAATCCAAGCAACGACAGAAGCCATCCGTGCCCTTCTCGGCGCTTTATTCTCCCCCGTCCAAACCGGCGATTTTCGTCGCGAGACAGGTCTCACGTGCAGTTTCTTCGCCTTAAAGGAAAGATGCTGACTCCGAAATCTGCAGGTCGGGACACAACCAGCCAGGTCGGGAGCTGTCTGCAAGGGTTGGAAGGACCATGAATGGAGGCCAGATATCGTGAGAAAAGCGTTCCGCCATCTGGACGGGCCGTCTTCCTTGCTGCGGGAAAAATGTCCAGGGCGAGATCAAATCTCAGTGGACTACTCGAAGACTTGGCCGCTTTCCCGATTCCAGAAAAAATCCCACCCGAGGCTTCGCAAACACGCGCGTCTGTCGCCAGGAAGTACGAGGGCACCATTCTCAACGCTCGCACGGACCAGAGATTCGGACGAGACCACGATCGGATCCAGTGTTCTTGACTGGTTTCGTTGCTCCGTTTTACAGGAAGCCGTGGGTGCAGATGTGAGTGCATGGCCTCGCGCGAGATGTGCGCTGTTGATGCAGGAGTTCGAGTCAAGTCAGCTTCAGTGTCTGAAACATGGGAAGCATCCTGGCTCGAGATAGTTTGCTGTTCGGCGCGGGCGGGCGAGGGATGTTGTTTGGATTTTAGGCGATCCCGAGATACGAACGGTTTGACTGATTGCTGGTCAAGAACAAGACGCGATGGGGCGAGGTTGAAAGATGGACAGCGGTGGGATACAGATCTAGGTACTGTATACTCTCGTAATTATAGTCCTTATGACAGAAACCATAGCAGAGCAGAATGAATCACATTTCTCTATTTTTGGGAGAAACGCTTACCAATCCCGGTGGTTCATGTGTTTGCTATGCTCAACACCATCTGCAATCCCTTTCCCTTTTGGGCAGGCATCATGCAGGGTTCCTTAGTATCGAGCAGAAATAAAATGAGACATGTCTTTTGGACAAGGACAGATAAAGCAGCTGCCTCGCCTCAAATTCTGGTTCCAAACTTCGCGTCGCCTTACGAGAACAGCTTTCCCCAACTCCCTGCTCTTCTGATCATACCGCACTTGCCAGTCGGTACCATGGCGGAGCAAGCATACTTCGGTCGTTTCCAGACCTTCGCCCCAGACCCGCAAGCCACCGTCCTCGAAAACTTCGCGCAGCTCGCCATCTCGAATGGCTGGGGGAAGAAGAGCCAGGAGTACAAGGACGAGAGAAAGAGCTACATGATCGCTCTGGCCGATACCCACATCGAAAGCATCGAGAGAGGTGGCGCGGCGGGAACGCTGGCGGGCTTGCAAGGGCTGTGTAAGGAGCTGCGAGTCTGTCCTATCCCGACATCGATCACTCAGTGCAAGAAGGTCTGTCACGAATGCTCGGACCGGGCGTGTTGGGTTATCACTAACCCGGCTTGCCAGAAATTGAGGACGGTCCATGTCTGTATCGTCGACCTCATCGACAATCGACGCCTCGGCGGCACTCGAGTCCATATTTTTCCCTGCCATCGTGAGCTCCAACAGCACATTAAGAAGAGAAAGCATTATTTCCCCAAGTACGAAGCGAAAGAGAAGGAAGGTGGCCTTTTGAAAGTCCTGCTGCGGAAGATAAAGGGGTATGAGGCCTGAGGGGGAGCGCTGGCATGATGAGAGCAAGTTGATGCTTGATATTTGGCTGTTGAAGAAGGGAAGGGCGGGTCGTGTCAGCAGACTGCTACTTGTGTATTGAAGCAGACCAATGCTATAGCGCAATTCTAATTACAAGCTCGAGTGGTTGTTTCCCTCTTGATTTTGCGTGGAAAGTCTTTGACTCTATAGTAGCAACTGCAACTTATTAAGCACATCTGGTACCTTGTGATCCAGCGCAGACCATTCTTCGTCGGTGTAAGAATTTGAATGGATACTCAGTTTGAGCCGCGGATGACGTTGGAACGTTGCTCTCCCCGCTCCCCCACGCAACCCCACCATACAACCGCCGTGCATCTAGACTTGAGCATCAATCCAATCACAAAGCGTCATGAGGTTTTCCTGGAGCGATGGCAGTGCGGCTCACCCCAAGATTGTCATCACCGCTCAGGACGATGACTTTGACCAAGTCACCATTCAAAATTGGAGAGCAGAAGGCTTTGAAGTATCCTACTTGCCCTTCACTGGTTTGCGAAATGATTATGTCCATACCCTTCAACATCTGGCTGATCCGCTAGAGCTTGGCGAGAACTTTGCGATAGTAGGTCTGCTTGCTCTACTCGTATCAATAGCAATTGGAGCTAGTAGCTAATGCTTCGATTCTCCGCAGCTTATGGAGAAGCAGCCTCGGAAGCACTCGATGTGGCTGTGAAGCCGATGCCGAAACTGTGCGCTTTGATAGCATACTATCCCGAGAAGGTCCCTGCACCTGGTGCTGGGTTTCCTCCGAGCCACAACGTTGCAATTCATTTCGCTGGTCCACAAAGCAAGACGCCCAATTGTCGCTGTTACTCATATCCAGGTGTTGAGGCGGGATTTGCAGAAGAGAACCTTGAGCAGTATGACAAGGTATCCGCGAGCCTAGCATGGTCGAGATCGTTAGCAGTCTTGAGAAAAGGATTTGAGGTTGAAGTTGATCTTGAGAAGATTTGGGACGACCATGTGGCGTGTGAGTTCTTCTTATTTAGAGAAAGTTGGCCTTGAAGCAGCTAACAGGTGGTCTCGGGGAAGTGGAATTCGTGACCAAAGACGCCGACGCAACAATGTCGACGATGGTCGCTCGTACGTACATTTCGGCGAAGATCCTTCCGATATGGTACTGAAATTGAGTCGCGAAACTCTTTCCGGGAGCGAATTGACCTGTTCTGCTCCCGAGACCTGTCTTGCAACTCAACGTATCTACCTTGAAGAAGGAATACTGACCCCGAAATGTGCGTAGAACCATACGTCAATCATATTCCTACTATGACAGGCGGCATCGGGTATAAGGATCTCCACCGCTTCTATCGCGATTACTTCATTCCTGGAAATCCACCCTCACTAAAGATGAAACTTCTGTCGCGGACAGTTGGCACAGACCGTGTAGTTGATGAGATGTATATGTCGTTCGAACACACCCAAGTAATGCCAGTAAGTCATTTTTCCGATTTTCCGATTTCTTCCTTCTTGTCGAGACTGCTTTTCGAGTCGCGAGACAAGCTGCAGGAGCAAATTAATCTTGCCACCCTTCTTACTCCCCAGTTATGTCTAGTTGATTGATTCCTTATCTACAGGTGGAAATGCTGACTCCGAAATGTGCTAGTGGCTTTTGCCAGATGTAGAACCCACGAATAAACATGTCGAGGTTGCGCTCGTGGTAATCGTATGTATTCGAGGAGGCAAATTATACCATGAGCACATATACTGGGATCAAGCTAGTGTTCTCGTACAGATTGGACTGTTGGACCCAAAGCTCGTACCAGGTGGAAAGGGCCAGGGCCGCTTGCCTGTAGTCGATGGCGCCGGCGCGAGGAAAGTTGTTGATGAGAGCAGCATCAGAAGTAATGAGCTCATAAGCAGCTGGTGATTAATTAAACAATATATTCATCGCTGTTAGCCGTGGGGCTGCTGTCTTGCTTGACCTCTAGTGTTAGGGACTCAATGGTGTGTGTGGTAACTCTGTATTGTAGTATGAAGAGAATACTATCTATGTAGGATTATTACAAGTGTGGGTTTCACAGCAAGGTAGAAAGGCCGAAAGGCCTTGGCACGCTAAGCCTAATTGGGTTATAACACAAGTAAGGTTATTAGAATCGTGATATTACCTTTCCCTTTAATTTGAAACTTCGGCGATGACTATTATATAGTAGATATCGATCTTATAAAAAGTATATCTAAACGTATACGAAGTAATATTCTTAAGTATATTAACTCAATATTCTATAATGAGTTTAAGATCTTCTTATAAGTCGATATAGTTACTATAAATTAGTAGCGCTAATAGAGGAGATTATTTTGAAGGTTTTTTAAATAATAAATAAGGGCTAACGGCCTCGGAGTAATAATAATAAAAATCTGCTATTAGATTTGAATATTCTACTATATTCGTAAATAGTTATTAGAATAAATTTTTCTTAATCTTAGAGTCTCTATATCTAATTTTATATATTAGATATCTCCTCTTATTAATTAAGAGGTTATTTTTTTATTTATTTAGTTTAAATTAAACTATTTCTTTAATATCGTAAATTTCGCTTTTTTCATTAATATTAATAGAAGGCGATGAAGGCTTAATCTATTCTAATAGTAGATCGCTATTATTAAGATATAATAGCTATAAATAAAAGATAAAGTAGATATTATTTATAAAAGTCGAGAGTTCTAACTTATAAGCGAAATTATTTAAAGCTTTAATAATTTTAAATAATTTGAAATTCTTATAATTTAGTAATTTATTAAGGCGTATAATTTTAATATTTCTTTTATTAAATATAATTATATCTCTAACTCTAAATTCTAATATAAAGAGTTAATAACGATTAGCTTATTTTTTTTATAAAGCTTATAATTATTTAAGCTAACTTCTTAGATAATTTCTTATAATATTTATCTTCTCGATAAATCTATTAGCTAATTTAATATCTCTCTTTACTCTTTAATTAGCGAATTAATTCTAAAAAGTAAGAGATTCTATTTTCGAGCGAGGAATATATTTTTTAATAAAAAGAAATAGTAATACGCTCGATAAGGTATTCTTATCGAAGTTAGTTTTAAACTCTACTATTAATAATAAATTCACCTAATTATCTTAATTATAATTAATATAAACTCTAAAATATTATTTTAGAGTAATATTAGCGTTCTTTATTTATTTATTAATTTCGAGGTAAAACGTAGTAGAAAGTTTAGATTTAGTTTTAATTCTTTTATATAGTCTTCTTTAGAAATATATTATAAACTAAGTACCTCGATCGGAGATAATAATAAATAAATATTCTTTCTCTCGCTATATGAATTCGATAAAGGTTTAAATTATTATCTTCACTTTTAAGAAGTCTAAAAGAACGAATTTCTTCTTTTTATTAAGTCTATTTATAACTATTATAATATATTAATAGAAGTATCTATATCTGAGATAGATAGATAATAATATAATAAAGTTAATAGAAATATCTTATTAATATTATTTAAGAATAAAAAAAAATTTAAATAGATCTTATTTACTCTTTCTATAAGTTTTAAATCTCTTATAAATATAATAGCTCTTAATATAGCGAGTAATAAAATTCATTATTCTTAGTTAATAGTAGTATCTACTTAATCTATCGTAAATTAATAATCTATTAGCGTGGCCTTTAAGTAAAGAGTTATAAATATCTCTAATAATCTTAATTTATAATTTGAGAACATCTAATATATATAATCTATTATTAACGTATAATAGTTTATTATAAAAATAATAATTATCTAATTTTAGCTTAAAATTATTCTTAATTATTTTAAGTAATAGCTTTCTCTATTTAGATATCTTTAATTAAATAATTTCTTAAGCGATATTATTATGATTATAAGTATTTTTTATCTAATATAATAATTTAGAAGTATTAGTAATAGAGACTTCTCTCGATTCTTCTATAAATTTCTCTTAAGAAATCTCTATCGAGGCTCTTAATAATAATTCTTTATTAGACTTCTTATTATTAATATTATTTTATTCGCTAAGTTTATATAGTATTATAATTAGAGAGATAATACTTTCTTTTATATTATCTAGAAGTATAATAATAAGATATATAGCGTTCTTAATATCTTCGTTAAGATTATTATTTTTAAGAATTATATAGTATTAATAATAAGTATAATCGTTATTCTCATTTTTAGATAGATCTCTTACTTATTAAATAAGATTATTAGATTTAATATTTTATTTTCTTAAACGATAGATAATATAAAAGTTAAATTTAAAAAGAAACTTCGCTTATCTTACTTAGCGAAAGTTAAATTATTTAAAAGATATAAAGTATTATAAGTTTTTATAATTTAAAATAACTTTAATAAAATCCTTAATAGAGATATCAGCTAATTTAGAATACTATTCCTCGAAGATTTATATTATAATTATAAGTTTCTTATTATAAATATCGTAGTTATACTCTATAGAAGATATCTTTTTAAAGAGAAATATTATAGATTTAAGTACTTCGTCTTTATCTTCTTATAATAAAATAATAGTAACTATAAAATTAGACGCGTTCGTTTCTAGTTATATCTTTTTATTTAAGTTAAAGTAAATAAGTATAAAAGTAGTAATAAAAGCTTTTTTAAGCGTTTTAAAAGCGAGTTATTTAGAATATTCTTAAGCTTATAAATAGATAAAGTCTTTCTTCTATTAAGTATAAATAAAATTCGTTAGAGATATAGCGATTTTAGAGTATCTCGTAATAAACTTTTAATAGAAATTAGTAAATTCTAGAAATATTTATATATCTTTAATATATCTAGATTTCTTTCATTAAGTAATAGCCTTAATTTTCTTTATATCTATTTTTACTTCTTTTATTATAATAATTAATTCTAGATATTTAACTCTAATAATATAAAAATTATATTTATTAATATTAAGATAGAGATTAGCTTATCGAAGTTTTTTTAACACCTTTTCTACGTGCTAAATATACTTATCT